TGTGTGTGTGTGTGTGTGTGTGTGTGTGTGTGTGTGTGATGATATAATTCAGAGCTTTAGTATTCAGAGTCCAGAGGATTGAAGAACAGGCTCGTGGTGGAATGTTACACAGATACTCTCTTTCCTCTAGAGTTTCAACTCCAGCAGCAGAATTGTGCTCCACCGATGGCGATGAAGAAACGAATTCCTGGAGCTTCTCTCATTAACCCAGGAACTAAAAGGTACGACACGTCCCTCTGTACAGAACCTCGGTACAGCTCGTCTTCCTCTTCCTGCAGGTCAACAGAGCACCGTTCTGTTTAAAGCTCCTCTGACCGGAATAATCTACCTGGAAATATTCCATCCAGATCATCTGTTCACCTGCTCAGAAATGTGCTTTCTTCTTATTGAAGGATCAGTTGTGCATATGTCCAAAATGACGTCTCTATAATTCTGACTTTATTACGTAATGCTTTTCTATAACTTATGAAAGAACGTTTTCATGCTCTCGAGTATGATTTCCTTTTACATCATTTTCACATTTGTTTGGTTTGTTTTTTGTTATTTGTATCGTTTAATTATATAATTGTGATTGTGTTGTATGATTGTCGTTGAGGACCTCTTTGAACACTAGATGGTACATCTCGACCTAATAAAGAGTTTCATATTCTCTGATCTCTGTGAATGTAAACCAATGACTGCTCGTCTGTTTGTGCAGAAAGCAACAAGCGACCGGCGTGGCCTTTGATGTAGAAGAAGACTGATCCTTCAGACGACATGTTCTCACGCTGCAGCTGCTGCTGCTCAACCAAAGACGAATGTTCTTTTAATCCACTAACACGACATCAGGACGTCTTCTTAAATCACAGCATCAAAACTAGGCAATGATTTTTAATCCGTCGAGGAATGAAGCAGTAACTTCTATTAGTTTGAATTTAATTTCATTTCCAGATGAAATTAAAAAGTAAGAAGTTGCAACAGTTCTGTGTGGAAGAAGTGGAACATTATTGTTGCTCTTTACAGAAAGAAAGAAGCCGACGCTCCTCATACTTCAGATATGTGCTGACGACACATTATGTTCCTTGTTTCCCAGGAACCCGTCTTCAAATGAATATGTACACTTATCATGCTCTTAACACATTTGATACAGGAAGGAGTGATTTGTACTCCGTATGAACTTACAGTAAGATCCTCCTTGAATGAATGATCCTGAGTCGGGGTTAGTTTACGTGTATATTTACTCATTTTCCTCTTTATGTTTTTAGGTTATCATGTGAAACTTTGAAAATAAAATGCAATTTGAATTGAGTGAAATAAATGTTTGTTTCACCTGCATCTCTGGTATCTCTCTACATGGTGACACACTTGGTGAGACTGACTCTCGTGTTGTGCTGTTTAGCTGAAACATGGCGTCCAGCCCGCAGGCCTCGGGTCACTGTGCTCTCAGCTGGTTATTAAGATGCAACACCAACGGACACCAGCAGCACCAACGCACTCATAGTCAGACATGAGCAGTTGTACAACAGCATGAACTGTAGTTGGAATTTCTACTCCAATTATACTAATTAATAAATCAATGTTTGGAAAATGTCAGTTTTATGAAGTTTGATTGTTTTTGGGTATGTACACAGATTCATACATAAAATGTATGTAAACAGTCCCTTTGCCCTAAAAAGAAGTGTTTTACTCTGACTGCTGAAGTCTCATTGAGAGGAGAACAGCTGTTTAATGATACATGAGCTTCAGCACTAACGTCAGATGTTTAGTCCAAATGAGAACCTGATGATGCTGAACATCCCAGAGAATACTCATGAATCCATATAACATATAGAGCAATGTTTAACACATTTAAAATATCACCTTTCAGATTCTCTGCACCCAACTCCAGTGGTTGCCGAGTTCTTTATTGGTTGCCCCCGTTATATATTCATGAGTTTGTTTCTGTCATTAGGCTGATCCCTTCTGTTGGTCACGTTCCAAGCTTTGATTTATGATTTCGTTATAATCAGTTATCCTGCTGCAAAACTCTGTTATGGTCTGAAATCATTTTTTAATAGAATTCAATCAGATATTTCAGCGAACCACTTCCCTCCAGCTTCACATTCTCAGTAAAGAAAGAAAAGACAAAATGAGTTTTTCCTTGTTTAATGATAACTGTAGGAAAACAGCCCACCACTGTAATAATGATCACCAACATATGACTGCAATCAGCTGTTAAAGAAGAAGTGAAACAGTTACTATTCAGACAGGACAGGATACAACTCATCATCACAGAACTCATGAGGTGACCAGTTTGAACCACATGCTGACACACAGGCAGAGAAACAGACGTGTGTCTGTGAATATGGATATTTTGCACATTTTGACTTCCATTAAATTCCATAGAAAACTACAAATACTTCTGCAAATCATAAAACATGTATTGTATCCAAGTTAAAACAATAGCATAATAATCTTCTAATCTGAGGATTCCCTTTAGTATCACAGTGGTAGTAGTGCAGTTATTGTCAGGGGATAGAAGCAGAGTTCACATGGTTAGATCACTGATTACCTTCACTTGAGATGGTGTAATAATACAATGATTACTTTAATTATTATTATTATACATGGTGTGTGGTTTATAGAGGATCTTCTTGGCAGAGTCCACAACATAATATGTTAAAAGCACAAACAAAAGCATTCAGTAGAAAGAGATCAAATGTACAGTGTCAACATGGATAGAAGGGAGGCACCATCAGCACAATAACCACGCCTTTACATCCTCTCCATCAGCACGATAACCACGCCTT